GAACTGCGAATGCAGTTGATCACCATTCTTAAGTACTAGAAGAGGCTCTAATGTATTAAAGGATATCGTGGCTGAAAGGACAAATGAGGGTACAGTCCCGATTGTCGTAGCTGAGGGAGATTATTGACTGGAAGTCAAAAAGTACCTAGTCAACTAACTGACAGTGGGACCTCCGCGTCTATTACGAGTTAGGTCGAAGTCAAATTTAGTCGATATTTGGACTTGCGACACACCATTTGGTACAAGGTAAGGCATACAGATGCTATCCTTGTCTAGGTTTGGGCAACCTGGTAGTATCCCAGTCCTCGTGCTGCGTTCGGGTGGCATGGCAGTTAGGCCCCGAAAGGATGCTTTGGCTGAACGATACAGATGCTATGCTAAAAGTACATTAAAAACGCAGCTTCAACAGCCATGAAAAACCCATAAGTCATATCTCTCCATAGGAGTGATAGTGGGCCGAATAGTTTCTCCACCAAATGGGTTGGAAAAACCTTAGTGAAAAATCGAGAAGGAATTATACAGGATGCGTGTTAAACACTAACCATAGGAATGCTTAAAATACGTGGACTGTTCCTGATCGGTTTTGCCCACCTTAGGCTCATCAATTAGGCACAGTTCTTAAGTTTCCGTCGACCTTATTCGACCAGTAAACGACAAGTAAACTCACATGGCTTTCAAGGAAGACCTTCTTCAACATGAAGTGAACTAGCGCTGTATAATTAGTTGAAGGGACACATCATAAAAGAGCGATTCCGCCGGGTCTCATGTGAGTCTCTCGTGAAAATCAGAGTTGTCGAATTCCATGAAGTTTGGGGGGACTGCGTCTACCTGATGGGCCCCAGGAAGGGCGAGCAAAGCCGGTTGTTGTCCGTCGGAGAGTTTTTAGCAGCCCTGTGAGTAGTGTTTTGCCTCTACCATATGTAGTTCCATTTTAACTACTCGGTTTATCACTAAGGCTTGCCCTGTTTGGGCAAACCGTAGCAGCCAATGGAAGGCCCATTTTGAAACTTCGTACGAGTTTCACGGATTGCTATGCGGACCCAGATGACCTTCCTGCGGATATCGATATCAAATTCCAAAGAACGAATGTACGGAAATTTGATTTTCACTATGGACGGACACGTCTTTACCAGAACGGACAGCACTTGTTACAGATTAAATAGTGAAGGGCGCATGAGTCCATCGATTCCATGAGCTACGCTCGAACGTGAGGCCTAGCAAGGAGTTTCCCAAGGTCTTGGCCAGTAACTTTGGGACAGATTCCAAACAGAAAGCCTTAACTTTACCCCACAGAAAATATGTTGGCGTTATGTTGCTCAGAACAAGGTCAATGAATTTAGCGAAGTACACCCATTTGCAAACTAATTTGGTTTTTCGAGAAACTCACCTGGGACCCGGCTGAATCTCTCGTTTGTGATATGCCTCTTCAACTAATCGTGCAGTTTGGTTTCAAGTAGAACATAAGTTCAGCGTAAACTCGGGAACTGTGCCTAACTGATGAGCCCCAAGAAGGGCGAAACCGGTTGTGGGTTTTTTTCACGAATTTTCAGCAACCTTATGAGTAGCACATTACGAACGTCAATGAATCTTAAATTCCTTTAATAACTCAGATTCACACATCACATCCACTACAGAGGTAGAGTTTGGAGCAAACCATCGCTCCTCAGCTGTGTGCCAGAAGGCAATCGACACTTGTGGCGTTCTGAACAATCGTCGTTCCTCCCCCCCCCCTGATGAAGCATTCCTTATTATCGCCCCACTAATGTTTAATCAGGTCAGAGGCTGTTGTGCGGAAGAAATCTGCCGAACAGCAGTCCAAACTGCGGTCAAAACAGACCTCAGGTGACCATTGAAGGTAGTATTTATTGCTGTATGATGACCTTGCAACCAGCGGGTTAGCACGTCTACCGTTCCATTTAAAACAGGGACATGTGACGGTTATCAAACACAGTTCCAGAAAGAACCGCTGAGTCGCACCTTTCAGCACTGTGTAACTGAACTATCGCTTACAGGTAGTTAGAACCGAGGGGTGGGCTTAACGAGTTGGGTCCGATTGTATCGTCCATTACGTTGACATTTGAAATTTCCCACGTTCATTTTGTCCCTATTTGTAATTCCCGCTCCACTTTTGTGTTCAGTGCGTGTATATGAACTGGCGTTTGTTTGACTTTACCGTTTCACTTATTTGGCCTTGAAGCCACTCAGCCATTTGTGGTTGACTTTATGCATGTGTGACTGCCCCACGTGGGAGCCTGCTTGCCGATTTATCTCGTACTTTTGTAGTTCAAGTGGACCATCTGTTGTGGATGAGTATCTCCAGTCGAGGTTTGTATAAGTTGTGAATTTATGTCTTACCGTACCGTACAGAAACCCAGCTCCGACTTTGTTTTATCTTCCCGGAGGCTCTGATATCATGTGTCACTCGTAGATACTGTTTGCCGACGGATGCATAAAGAATCAATCATGACGGGTAGCTATGGAGTTTCATTTCAGAATCAGCGGACACAAACAAGACTAGAGTTAACAAACCACTGAGAAACGCAGATGCACACTGAGCTGCAGCCACAAACTCGGCGATGGCGGGACCAGTAATAGACGTCGAGCAAAAAATAAATTCACAACCCATTAATGTTTTGAGGCGGGAACTACGATCAATGTCGTTGCGACCGATAGGAATCATCGGGCATCCCAATGTGAATGGAGTGGAAGGGGTCGAAACTGGCACGCCATGGACAGCAGTTTTAGGTCGATCGAGTTGACACGTGACTGCTCGTGATAGTTGTAGCGATTAAGTGAAGTGGCTTAAATCTGAAGTGCTGGACCTAAGTCGCACCCTTCACCAAATTGGCATCACACTTGCGAACTCATACAGAGCCAGTTGAAAATGACACTCAAGAGGAATTACTGACTCAAGTGCCTCCAATCAGGTAATCAGTGACCCAAAACCACCCGAAAGGCTACTGGTAGATCCATCAAGCCAATCCTGGATTTTCGTCAGAAGCACTCTGGTGACGAAGGACCAAACAGCTGTCCAGTGTTTCTTGGTATTTGAGCAAAGCTTGGTTTCACTCACAAGATGGAATCTCCATTGGGAATGCCCAAGTCTCGTCAGCAAAGTCCTGTGTGACATCCAGCGATATCTCGAATATTATGCCAACTGAATCATGAGGCGGCCTGTGTGCAGCACATTCAGTTGTAGAATACCATAAACGAGAGATTCAGTTGAGTCTCTCGTGGAAACCAAATTAATTTGCAACTGAGTGTATTTCTCGAAAACAGTCCAATTTTGGTTCAAGTAGAACATAAAGTTGACGGAAACTAGGAGATTGCGCCTACCTGATGAGCCCCAAGACGGGCGAAACCGGTCGTGGGCTGTCGAGGGGTTTTCAGCAACCTTGTGAGTAGTTTCCTTTATGAAAAATAAAACAGTTTAAATGGACAGCTCGACGGTCGTAAGCGTCACACATGATAAGCTTCGTCGACGATTCTAATTCTGAACTCAATTTGCGCTGCTGAACTTTACTCAACATCTATTTGTGAATTATCAAGAGTGTCCGTTCCCGGCCCTGTTAAACCATGATGAATACATCCGAACAGCTGACTTTTGATTCCTTGTAACTCACGGCCTTAATAAATTATTGATAATGCGTCGTAGCGATGGGTAGGAAAGGGTCAAGGGCCTAAAAAACCAATTATCAAGTGAACACTCAATTTTATCACATTGTTGCTGTCAGTAGCTACTTCGGCAAACCTTCTCACGCGTAAGGAGAACCAGTTTGGTTGTTGGTCTGTTCGCCGAGCTTGGCAGTTGGGTTGCAAACGTTTCATCACCAATCAAGGTGACATCGTCAGTGCAGGGTTGAGTGGGTGGATTACTCCTCTTCCGCCTGTGATTATATAGCTTCTAAACAGTATCTGGTAGTTCTAAAAGCGGTCTTCACGTAGTTTGATTGGCCTCATGTGAATCTGACGTGGTCTCAATCTCCCACTCAACCCTGCACTGACGATGTCACCTCGATTGGTGATGAAACGTTTGCAACCCAACCGCCAAGCTCGGCGAAAGGACCAACAACCAAGTGACGCACCCGAGCTACCTACATTCCAAAGCATGGCGAACCAGTTGTTAGACCACAACCGGTCAACCCTCCCCGAAGGGAAGCCATACATTTGGAGGCGATCACATTTCTGCCTCACCCCACTTACAACAACGCGTTCGCCGTGTGCGAATACAAAGGTGAGGCGTAGGTGTAGATCTTGTCTCTCAACTCGTCTTTTGTTCAGTTACCGCTGCATCCCCTGGCGAATTTCTGGACATTGTCGTAAAGTCAACGAGAGCAGTCCAGTCTTCCCCCATATAAAATGTCATCCATGAAAGGTACTCAGTCACAAGGTGTCGTTCTTCCTATCCCGCTCTGACCAGGTTTCGTCGAAGGGAGACTTATTGATTACCTTTCTTTTGATATTTTTTTCGACAGTATGAAGCATGCCGAAATTCGCGGGTACTAAACACTGAATGGTTGAGGACAAACAGTTTCATTCCGCTTTGTGCTGTCCGGGTGTCACTTGTCCGGCATCCAAAAAACATCTACTTTCGAGGTGAACCCGATAGTCCTGCTAGAGATAGGCGGAGAGAGTTACCATGCAGAATGCGAGCCGTATGAATAGGAAAGCTGAAAGCACTGTTACACTTGAGCTACGAACCTGTGTGCCACAAGAAGTCATGCTTCATGGGACAAAAAGAAGACTCTGCTCCGAGGGATGTTGCCCGTTTTTTAAGGAGGAAGGGGATTACCGTAAGCGAAAAGTACGAAAAGAAACGAGAAGTACTCGTTGTTGCCAAATAGACCGAATTTTAACGTAGTCTGACGGTTGGATAACCTTCAGAATATCGCGTGGGAAACACAATTGTTGAAAATGTACATATTGAGAGGATTCCTGTAAATCAGAAAAAGAAGTATATGCATACAGGTAATAAGGCACACGCAAAGCATTTGTGTTCCTCACTCAGTTTCCGGTGGCACAATCACCACTGGCACGTGCGAATGATGTAGTACGTAGCCACTAACGCTGCCCAAAACCGTGCGACGAAAGGCACCGAGTCCACGACTGCCCATAACAACTATGGCGGCATTGTGATCCTCGATGGCCTCGGTGACAGCATGACCGGGTCGGCTATCCACATGTAGGAATGCTTGAGCATGTAGTCCAAGTTCCTTGGCCTTTTGCATCTTCTCCCTGCATAGACGTTTGCTTTTGGTAATACTTGCATCCAAAACGGGAGCCATATTTGACATGATATAGGCTTCCACAGCCAATTCGAATGCATGGCCTGGGAAGACAGGCTCAACGACCGTGAAGAACACCAGGTGATCATTTGGTGCTTTTAGGTTATCCACATACCAGGCAAATGCGCGTTCACAATGCGTGCTGCCATCGATAGGAAACAGGACGATCCGAGATATTTTGCTTTCCGGCTGTGCCGTCATCCCACAAAGCGCTAGGAACGATGCGTATGGTCCTATGCCCTGACAACTCCGTTTTTGATCGGGTGCGTCATCAGGCACGTCTAGCGCCGGCAACGTGCGTCTACGCTTCAACTGACCAATGAACATCCACCTCGCTAAGGTCATGAAGGACGTCCAACGCCTACGTACATGTGCTGTGGTGTGCCGAGCTGGTCGAACCATCGAACCAATAGATGGGTCTCATTGGTTGTTTGAGTGGGCGTTACAGTCCAGCGTCTCGTAGAGAGTGGCCGGTGAATGAATTGATCGGGATTTTCTCGTCCAGTCGACAGGTTTGAAAACTCGGGACTGAAGCGTACTGACTTGCAGTGTCTTGAAACTAGTCGAGGGAACGAAGAGACGTGAAGTATCATAATTTGGGTTGGCATTCACTTAACTCTGGTTTGAACGGTCTCTCTACTGTCCCCAACACGATCATTCTGTTTGGTTCATGCGAAGGGCATCGAGATGGCTCTGTGGTTACGGCGCCAGCTTACGGACCAGAAGGTTCGAAGCCGAATCCAGCATCTCGACTGCTCCTGTCAAGTCTTGGGCAACCTGGAGTCATTCCAGTCCTGCGGCCTCCTTCCGTTCTCATGCTAACTAGGCCCAGAAAGGGTGCTGCAGCTAAACGATTTTTCAAGGTGGGGAGTTGCTGAGCCCTAGTTTTGCTCTTATATGAGTTCATCGGTGCTGCACACCCTTGTCTCTGCTGAGGTTTGAGGCTAACGTGTTCCAATGCACGGCGGACGCAAATGAATCATCACATCTGATGGTGCTCATGACTGAATTATGTGGTTCACCTGTAGATATCTTTCAGTACGATTCTGTGTAGTCCGCTTCTTGGGACGGTTAATTCCGGCCTAGTCCCCGCATTTCCATCAACCTCATTTCTTATGTAAACGTTTGATTGCTTGTGTGTTACGATAAACGGTCGTCAGCTAATTGCGTTAGTACGTGTCTTTGTACAATCCGGAATGCACCTTTGTGGGGAAAGTACTGAGCACCACATAGAAAGAATGGCATCAGAATCAACGAGTATCATGCTACTCTAGTTAGCGAGAAACCTGTAGTACCGCAGACGGACGAACCAATGAAATACAACTTTCTTGTTCATCTTCAGTTGGGTGGCCTGATGAGGAACTATGGGAGACAGCACTGACTGGGCTGGCCAACCATCAGGGACTATGATCATGGAGCAGTAACGCGATCTCTGAAAGCATTTTACTGAATCAACCAAAATCAACAAAGACACTGTGTTTTCTTGGCTCTGAAACGCCTACGAACGAACAATTGGATTGAAACTGACAAAAATGTCAATATATGGGACCGATTGTGAAATTTTCTAAGGGGGATTGCCCATGGAATTGTAGAAATCTATTGGATGACGGTGAGTAGCCGAGGTTTTTCAAAAGCTCCGGGTCTATTTAGAATGATAGTGTTCACTTTTGTTGATACTTTGGTATTACCTGTTCGTAACAAAGTACTCTCAAGTCCATCTTGTGTCGAACCCCATGGGTCAAGCAAAAGTGCTACTTTTAAAGATTTACATCATTTCAGTAGTGCTGTCAGTAGCATGAGTGCTGCCGAAACATGGCTGAGAAGCGAACTACACTAATTCCGATTCACATGGCTGAACCGGTCCACTTTGTGGTGGACTCTATTGGTGCACAGGTGGCGATAGCCGTAATACAAATCAGAATGTGAATGTGTGCACTAATAGAAGTTTTTAACATGGTTGCGACAGGTATAAAAATGAATACAATGCGAAATGGGAGCAAGTCAAAAAGGAACTTATCGTATGTGAGAGTTGCTTGGTGAAAGTCCGGACGGCGGTAACGTGTTTTCTCCGCAGTTTGGCTGCTACACGTGTTCCATGATTGTCCGCGAACTTGGAGTGCTTGGGCTGACTTCTTGCTCCCTGCGCGTGCGCGAGTCTGTGTGTCTTGACTGGCTTCGGTTTGCCTTTATGTAGGTCCCAGTGGTTGCTACGTTGTGTAGACGGTACGGACAATCGATGTCCGATGAGTCAGCTTAATGCGACGTGTTTGTGAGTATGAGAAAAAAGACAAGCCTCGCGATCCATTGAGCGACTGTGAGTTGAACAGTCAAGTATGTATGTGACTGGGTCGCTACAACTCCAATTTAGCATCATGCAAATTGGTTTTCACATTGACCTAGTCTGCGAAAAGCCACTAGCCTAATGAAAATGATCAAACTGAACGTCGTTCAGTTTAACCTCAACATGGTGATAAACGCGGCTGAAGAACGCACACCATATTAGATTCGCAGTAGATCGAATAAAAGACTTCTGTAGAAATGAACTGGTAAACTACCCCTTCTGCTTGACAGGTGGCAAGCCTCAGCGAAATACGTCATCTGACTAATCTTAGTTTTTTATGAATTAGAGGTTACTGATCCAGTCTGGAAATACTCAAAATACCAGGGGAACAGAGCAGATGACGCAATGCTGGGCAGGTATTTTGCACAAAGCTAGTCTAAAGGCCATCCATTCTCCCTTCATTTGATTGTCTGTTCATTGGTGGATTACTTTTGGGGTGAATTTCTGGTGAGTAAGGGTTTCCAGCTTACATGCCTGTTTGAATGTATCCAACCGTTAAGCGGGGCGTGATGAGTAAACGAAGTTGAACGAAGGATGATTTGTAAAGTTGTCTAGCGTGAACAGTTTTTTGTGGCACCTTCATACCAAGTTTCACTACGCCTACTGTTGATCAACTTTTGGATGGGTTTCTGTTCGTAACAACTTGAATTGGACCGATTCGGTGAGTACTTCAACCGCGGCTCTCTTTTTGGAACGCCACTCACCTGAGTACGATCACGCAGGTGGCCCACATTTTCCAAAGCATATGTTATGAGTAATTTCGGGAACGTGTTCTCCACATGATCCACTCATGATCAGTTGATTTCCATTATGCTTTTCAGGCACCAGAAATGCTCCGATGATAATATAGGGTTCGATCCCGCTGAAATTCTGTTCACTTGTCTGACTCGTTTTGGACGGATTCCGCAACCAACCGTTCGCATATTCCATGGCTAGTCAACACACCCTGAATCCCAATGCAAACAATGAACTCCATTAGGCGGGGAGCAAGTCCTTTACCTCTCTCGTTATTAAACCTGGACTGATATGCCAGAAAATATTTTTGTAATGCACTACACATAAGGTTGCTGAAAACTCTTCGACAGTCCACGACCGGTTTCGTCCTTCTTGAGGCTCATCAGCTAGGCGCAGTCCCCGAGTTTCCGTCAACCTTATGTTCTACCTGAAACCGAAATGCACGAAATTGGCGAAATACACTCATTTGTAAACTAATTTGATTTTCCGAGGGACTCACCTGGAAACATCAAAAGTGAGAGATTCAGCTGAGTCACTCGAAAAACCAAGCAAATGAGTGTATTCGCCAATGCCAAGATAACAGTTTTTACGTCTTGTCGATGCCGATCTGTGATATCATGTAAACATGGAGTTCGTGATGATAACGCCCTGTTCCACATCACCCAAAATATCGATCGTGGGAAACAGCCACTCCCACTAACGAACAAAAAGTTTAAGAGAACACCCGTCACCGGTTTAGCACGCTCCACCAACAAGATCTTACCCATTGTTTCCACGTCCGTTTTAAAACCCAGCCAAATTAACAATCTATTCACTCGGCCTGAAGAAAATATTGTGTCAAATGAGAGTACGGCTCAGCAACAAGTCCACAGATTGTTACGAAACGATGACCTCAGCTGTAATGTCCTTTCTCTGCCTTGCTGCCAGGCTACCCGAATAAAGCCCAAGTCTAGATAGGACTAGACAAGATGCTCAGATTGGGTTTGAACCACGAACATTCCAGTCGGTAGGTTGGTGCTTTATCCATTAGGGAGTTCGAGCTCTACAATACTACTAAGTGACTCGTGAACATCAGAGTGCTCCGTTTTCAGGAGTGTCAGAATGACCTAACGGGTGAGGTAATAACAAAAGTTTGAAAACGGATTGAGAAGTTGCCATTCCAGAAGGGTTTGCTGAACATGTGGCAGTTTTTAATAGGGCAACGTTTCGCATTTGACACAAAAACTTCATCAGGCCCAGTGAGCAGGTCACCAAGTTGGCCAAGTTTTAGGGCAGATGGAGAACCAATCAATAAGACATCTTCATATCAGCGCACTCGATCAGTGTTGAGTGTCAATTAACGGCTCTTGTCGGTTAGTTTGACCGCCAAAATCTTGCGATGATGGGATGTGACGATGCCGGAAATTTTAATAAAACTGCTCCAGATGTTTGCGATGAAAGGGGTGGGATGCAAAAGCTTTATAGATATTTAGAAAAATTCTATCCATCGCCCCCAAGTGCTTCGCGCGTCCTTCTGATGTCATATGGCGACGCCCAAGCTCGGGACCACACAGCATCGTCCGTCTAACCGATCCCTGAAAGGGAGCCCCGCTTCTTATGCTTTCAGCCGAAATGCGTTTACTTTAGAAGGGTCGCTTTATCAGGCGTTAAGTACCATTTTACTTTGACCAACCTTATCGACATTTTTTAGACGTATCGTGTCGCTGTTTGAATATTCATTGACTATCGCTCAAATCCAAGCAAATTCGACTCCACAATCTCCGTAACAGATGTCACTTTTCAAGAGACGCGAAGCGGATTTGCGAGAAAGGATACTACTCGCATCCCTCAGTAGTATCCACCGTTACACCGGTACCAACACCCTTCGCAATTGACGCCTAATCAGACTAGCTAGATATCTACCATCCCAGAGTTGGGCCGCTGTCCGGTTAGCCTCTTCTGTGTGTAGGGTTGTCACACGCCTAAACATTGATGCGGCAATACTAGCGAATATCGACTTCGGATGGCCATCATCACGACAAAGGTGTTATCTGCGTTAGGCCAGAATATCTTGGCACGTTTGTACATAACGAACTTAAAAGAATGTCATCTGGTGCCATGGCGACACGCCCTACTTTGTTAGCAAAATCATATGAATTCTTGATTTGAATTAATAACCACCGATTGTTTACAAAGCTCTTCTGAGTGGACGCCTATTCAATCAGTCCTCAACATCTTCCATTATAGAAGTGATCTTTGTAGTTTGTAACAAGATGAAACTAGGTCACGA